GGGGGAGGATTTTTGGAAGTTTATACCCTATATTCGTAGCATAACGCACGTGCGTTGTATACGAATACAACGGACCCCGTGCGTTTGCGTTCTATTCGTAAATAATGTACGGGCGTTTTGTTCGGGGGTATTTCGCTAATTTTTAATTACAATTTACAAACTAATTAGTAATTTCAGTCCACTCGTGTGACTAAAATGTCCGAGTAAATACCGTATCCACTCCACCTCCGATATCTAGTAGGCCTACGACAGCTATTTTGCGAAAACGGAAAAGAAAAAAAACTGTGGCTCTGGCGGTCACCACATAGGAAAAGAAGCGTCTTTTTTCAACCAAAAGAAAAAGAAGAAGAAGAAAAAAAAAGCGTCTTTCTCCATCTCAAGCACTTGTAGCAGTAAGAGTAGGAGGAGGAAGAGGGGGAGGAGGAGGAGAAAGAGGAGGAGGGGGAGAAAGAGGAGGAGAAAGAGGAGGAGAAAGAGGAGGAGGAGGAGGAGACAAGGAGAAGAGACTCCTGCTCTCTGCTGTCGTTTCGCTTGAGGTCTGGATGAGGAAGTCGTACGGCTGTCCAGAAGGAGGAGCACAAAGAGGAGGAGGAAGAGGAGGAGGAGGAGGTGGAGTAGTGGTATGAGGAGGAGCAGGAGGAGGAGGAGGAGGAGACGGCTCACCAACCCCTAGCCATGGCAGATCCTTGGGATTAGGGCCGGCAATTACGACGACCGATTCGTTGTGCCACTTCATGGTCCCGTCGACGTCAGATGAGGGAGGATGTAGCGGAGGCAAGGACCGAGAATGACCGTTGATAGAGGTCCCAGCAATTCGCACGAAATGGTTTTGCTGCCCGTGGATGCTGAAATACATAGTCGAAGGGTAGGAGGGGGAGGCGGACGAGGTCCCCACTGCGTTCGTCGCCGTCAGCATCGGGATCCGGCTTACAACCGCTTCCTCCTCCCCCCATCCCCTCCCACCACCCACATCTCCCCCTCTTCTCCCAACCCCTCTCCTTCCTAATCGCCTTCTCGGGTCATTATACAACGGCAAGCAGTACCGGCAAAACAGCGCGACGATGACGAGAACCATGGCTGGAACAATGGAGCTGAAAATGATCACTGGCATTGTCCCCTCCCTCTTATACCCCTTTTCATTCTCCAATGGCATCTCACCTGAGTCGCTGATGTGGGTTACCCATCCACCGTTCGGGATTACGGAGGTATACTGCTGCGATAGGCAGCTCATCCTCTCGTCCGGGGTGAGAGAGAAGATGAAGACAGTTTCCAGAACGGGACAGTCTCCCCCGTGCGAAGACGACGACAAACGGCCATCAAGCGCCACGTGTATCAGAAATGTCGCTGAAGATTCGTATGGAGCCCAATCACTTGCCGCTATAGTGGGTGCCACGTGCCCTGGTGATGAGGATGACGACGATTTGGCACGTGTGCTCGGGCCATCCGGATCACAGAAGACGTTCCTCTGCCGGTCGCGGTCGTAGACATCACAAAATCCACGCGCTACTAAAGGCTCAAAGCGTCCTCTTAATACCGCAACTTCCCCGATTCCAGCAAAATTACGATCGCTGCTGTAATTAGGGCGGCCGATGTCGCAAGTTGCTGGTATCCTCCCGCCAAAGGGAGACAGATCGGACGGTTCGCAGGCGTTCATGGAGGCATTGAATTCTCCTGTGCGCCAGTTGAAATGAGATATGCGAAAGCCGGAGCAGAGGCGGGAGAGCGTCAGGAGAAGGATAAGGGTGGTCGGCGTGAGCGCGCATGTCATCGTGCCACGTGGCGCTGGAGGAGTGCGTGCGGACAAAAACGATGGGCGATCACGATCAGTGCAGGGAAATCTTGAGGAAGAAGAACAGGTGGTTGTTGTGGAGGTGGAGGTGGAGGTGGAGGTACGGCAAAACGTTTTCGTTGGAAAGCCACGCGGGCATTCTCCTGCTATTGTGCCTTTGAGAGCTGGCAACAGCTGCGCGCCAAGCCGTTGTCGTCTTCTTCTCAATCTCCCCTTCCAACCGCGCTCCTTGCCACCGGTCATGGCTCCTCCTAGTACCGGTACCATCGAATTGCCTATGATTGGCAATCCCGCAAACGGAGGAACCCCTCAACCCCGGCTAGCGGTAGCCAGCCCTGCTTTGCAGGTAAGGACTGCGGTAGTTGTCTCAATACTCTCTCTCTCTCTCTCTCTCTCTCTCTCTCTCTCTCACACACACACACACACACACACACACACACACACACTGACACCTCTCTCTCTCTCTCTCTCTCTCTCTCTCTCTCTCTCTCTCTCTCTCTCCAGACACACACACACACACACTCACAGCGGCGGGGCTGTTCGTTGGCCTCTTCCCTCTTTAACCCGCACCATGTATCTGTGCCTGTATGTCACGTACGCATCGTATTTCCTGGAAATGATATCCTTGTCAGTGACATCTGGTCAGAATAATCCTGACGTACGTTCTCCATCTAAGGGCCTAGTTGCGCTACTCGCCATCCGTCACATTTCGTGGCGGATGCGTGGAGAGTGAAAAATATGAGAATCGTGTCGAACTCGAGGCCTAGTTGCACTTACTCGTCACTGTATTTCTTCTACAGAAAAGTTGAAAAAAATTGTCTACCTGATGTCGACTCGTGAAGCCCTGCACTCTCCAGAAAGTTGTTTTGTGGAGAGGTCCGAGGACCACCCTCCACAACCGCCATGCACAGGCCGGGAAACCGAATTCACTCTCCACAACTTGTGCCCAGGGTGAGGCGAGCCGTCTGACACATTTTGCATTCTTCAAGTTTGGCGAGTAAGTGCAACCAGGGGCCTACTCTCCAAACTTGGCGTATGGCGAGTAGTGCACCAGGGGCCTACTCCCAAACATGGCGTATGGCGAGTAGTGCAACTAGGCCCTACTATGCTCGCAGGGGCCTACTCCCAAACATGGCGTATGGCGAGTAGTGCAACTAGGCCCTACTATGCTCGCCACGCAGGCTGTCCAAAACCAGGTTTTCGACAGTTTTGCATCCCCACAGAGACTTTCGAAGAATTGCAGCTCAAAACAATTTCGAAAGGTGTCAGCGTGGTACTTTGGACAGCCTCCCTCCAGCAATGGTTTCCTCCCCTCTGCAGGTGACATACATTCGACAATGGCCCGCGGACCTTTCAAAAATTGCGCTTGAATTTGCATTGTCAGGGACCGTTCCGTGACACCTGTCCACCTGGGCATGACCAAAAACAACCTTGCCCCTCGACAGCCTCTGTGGCGAAGGGGGGGTAAATTGTCGACCACCCACTTTCAATTTTTTTCTGACACCTGTCGAAACTCATTGAGTTCTTTTTTTTTTTTTTTTTTTTTTTGAACGCCAATTCTTGTATTTCAAAATTCCAATTGAGGCTGGGACCTCACAATTCAACCCGAAAACGAAATTCCACTGAGAGCATTACCCAGCTTAGGGCCTAGTTGCACTAATCGCCATACGCCAAGTTTGGCGAGTAGGCGCCTGGTTGCACTTACTCGCCAAACTCGGCGAATGCAAAATGTGTCAGACGGCTCGCCACACCGTCGACACAAGTTGTGGAGAGTGAAACCGGTTTCCCCGCCTGTGCACGGCGGTTTGTGGAGGGTGGTCCTTCGGACCCTCCACAAACCGATTTCACGGCGAGTTTTGTCGGGCCGGGGCTCGAGACCAGGCATCGTCAGAGCAATAGAGTAGTCGGAATTGTGGTGAGCGGCCACCACGGCCAGGGCTGACCGACGAAGACTTAGGGATGTATCTGGACAGGACTGCGGTAAAGTAGACTCCAACAAATAAAAATCTATTCAGACTTGGGCATATGAGACTACCGAGGATGCAGGCCGATAGGACCCTAGACTTGTTCCCACGGGTACCAGAGGAAAAGTGTGGCGAGAGTTGTCGTGGTTGCACCTACTCGCCAGGACAACGCCCGCGGCCAGATGGCCGGGACATAATTTCGGGTTGAACAGACGGTGGCGAGTAGGTGCAACCACGACACCGATTCGCCACAAATCGGCAAAATTCCACTCTCCAAAAACCCGCCACGATTTGTGCCGTGTGGAGAGTAGTGCAACTAGGGCCTTAGCTTTGAGAGCGAAACGCTCGTTCAAGACAAGCCACCAATTGTTGTAACAACAACCTCTAACCAACTACAGACTACTTCCTACTAGTTAAGTCCTACTCCAAAATTATACTATCTACTGTTCACAGGCCTACCACGGCCTGACGCCCGGCCCAGCTCGACCGACTGGAATACAAGTTCCTCCTAACATGACACTCTCCGCACTTCCTCAGTTGACCTCCTGCGATCTGAGCCCCGAACCGAGTGTCCTGGTTCTGACTACATCCTACTGCAGCCTTACTACCATTATACCTACCTATACCTCTACACCTAAACCCCATAGCCTACTCCTACCTTTACCTATCTAACCATCCTGAAAGGCAGAATTTTCCTTCCTGAGTGAATAGCGCCAGATGTCCCGTCCTGACCCAAGTTCGCATAAACCACTCGAGGCCAGACGTTGAGCGCCCTTTGTTAGTTCTCCTCCGCCAATCTGCCCTGATTTCGTTCAACAGTAGTGACTGGAAGAGTCTCTCCGCCTGAATATCCGACATTCTTCGCCCGTGAAAACTCTGACCGTTTCTGTCTGCCCAGATCACCCACATCATCACCACCCTGCAAACCTAAGCAATGTACCCCCACCCCTTGTCTGAAGTTGTTCTGTGCGGGAGCGTGCCCAGTAGAACCCACCTCTCTCCTATCAGGTCCCCTCTCTCAGAGATGGAAGTCCAGAAACCAAACCACCACTGCCACCATTCTTTAGATCTGACGCAGACCCACCGTGTCCTATCTCAAACACCGAGTTACACCTCTCACACACCTCTTTGACAGACATTCCTCTTTTTCGTAGCCACCTTGCCACTGGTACCGCCTAATGGGATTGTAACCATAACAATGATGTCATTTTCTAAGAAGGGATTAGAGCCAACTGAGACCAAAGTTTCCCCAACTCGTTCTCGGTGGGAGGTTGGATATGAGGGAGAGATTCTTCCCACTTCCGCTTCACGTTGTCAGGCGGCTCAAGCCTTACGCCGCCCTTTACTTCCTTGATGATAACACTTGGCGATAACCAGATCTAGCTTTACCTGACGGGATCACAGCCGACATCGAAGAATTTGTGATATTAGATCCACACCACGGGTGTTAGGGCTGAGGCGTCGGAAAAACGTGGGGCCACAAACTTTGAGTGAGGATTTTTCTATGGATACTATGAGAGCCTATAACACAAGATTCATGAAAACCTAACAAAACAAATTGTTAGGTTTGCACGAAATGTATTCAAGATTATGATAGTACGTTTTTCAGACCTCCTCTAGGAACAAAATTTCACGTGAAGTAAAACAACCGCAAAAAAAAAAAATAGAAAATTACTTTTTGTGAACCATTGGAAGTGGCGAGGAAAAAAACAGGTTTTTACACATAAAATCACTTCCTGGTGAAGTAGTGTATGTTCAGGAACTGAAATATATATATATTTTTTTTAATCTAAAAAAATCAGGTTTATAGTCCTATAAGATGTATAGCACGATGAACATATTCGGGGGTTTTTCGAATGTTCAAACATGTTCTCAAACATATTCTCCCATGCCCGAGTGAACATATTCTTTTGTACTGTTTATTTTATTTTATTTTATTTTCCCATTTTTTTTTAATTTTAAACTCATGTTTGACTTAGAATTTGAAGGTGTCTCCTCGGCAAAAGTTGTTTGTATTCTTATTTTAAATAACATATATTTTCGTCAATCTTGATTTTTAACTAACTGCTGAAAATGACTTATAGTTCTATAAATTGATTTCAAAGGGTTTTATTGGTTTTTAGCTAACTGCTGAAATTGACTTCAAAGGGTCTTATTGGTTTTTAGCTCCTTCAAAGGGTTTTATTCTTAACGTCAAAATTGATTTATCATCCTATAAATTAATTTTCGTCGATCTTGGTTTTTAACTAACTGCTGAAAATGACTTATAGTTCTATAAATGAGTATTTACCAAAATTCATTTTTTTTACATCTTTCAAGTTTGCCTTGTAGTTCTTAAACATTGTCATATTTGAGCTTTGTTTTTTACAAATCTACTGAGAATGACTTATAGTCATATTAGAGGATTTTGCAAGAAAGGGTTTTCTTGCACATTTTGAGGAACAGTTGACTTTTCACCTCGTTTCTTGCCTCCTTTATCGAAAAACAGCTAGGTTACCTGAGTGGATGTCCGGGCCCCCGAGAACGGTCCGGGTTGTTCGACCGGACCACCGGGCCGGTGGTCCGCTGTCCGACGAAGGTCCGGCCCCTGCGAAAAATAGGGGCCAGGCTTGGAAGGGGCATCTGGGGGTTGGAGGGTCAGGCCATGTAGTAAGAGGCCTTACTGGACCTCGGTCCCCGCAGGCGGAGGCCAGCAGGGTAAAAAAAAATCGAAACAGAAAAGTTATAACGTGGACCGTCCGATCGATCCGATCGGCGGCCCAGATCGGGCCTGAATTCAAATTCGAATTCGGGTGGGAACCGCCCGCCGGCGCCCGCCGGTGCCCCCGTCCTGCCCTCCCCCCCCCCCCCCCCCCCCCCCGTCGCTGTAGACTATGACGATTGCGTCGACGAGCGCGTGTGTGCGCTCGCGCGGACGAGGCAGCCCAGCCCCGCCATCATCGACGCCATCTCCAGGTACGTGTCCACTTCGTCAGCCTTCCTCCTCCTCTTCTCCCGTCATCTCCTTGTCGTCCTCGTCGTCCTCTTCTTCTTCTTCTTCTTCTTCTTCTTCTTCTTCTTCTTCTTCTTCTTCACTTTTTTCTTCTTCTTTCTTCTTCATTCTTCTTCGTCTTCTTCTTCTTCTTCTTCTTCTTCTTCTTCTTCTTCTTCTTCTTCTTCTTCTTCTACTCTTTTTCTTCTTCTTCTTCTTCTTCTTCTTCTTCTTCTTCTTCTTCTTCTTCTTCTTCGTTTCCTCGTCCTCCTCCTCTCCCTCCATCGTCTCCTTTTCCTCTTCTTCTTCATCTTCTTCTTTTTCTTTTTCTTTTTCTTTTTCTTTTTCTTTTTCTTCTTCTTCTTTTTCTTCTTCTTTTTCTTCTTCTTCTTCTTCTTCTTCTTCTTCTTCGTCGTCGTCGTCGTCGTCGTCGTCGTTGCCTTGCCTTCTTCTCCATCATCTCTTTTTCCTCTTCTTCTTCTTGTTTCTCTTCTTCTTCTTCTTCTTCTTCTTCTTCTTCTTCGCCGTCTCGTCCTCCTCCTTCTCCTCCAACCCCATCTCCGTCGTCTGCTCCTCGTCCTCCTCCTCTCCCTCCATCGTCTCCTTTTTCTCCTCGTCCTCCTCGTCTTCTTCTTCTTCTGCTTCTTCTTCTTCGTCGCCTCGTCCTCTTCCTCCTCCTCCTCCAACTCCTCTTCTTCTTCTTCTTCTTCTTCTTCTTCTTCTTCTTCTTCTTCTTCTTCTTCTTCTTCTTCTTCTTCGTATTCTTTGTCGCCTAG